AACATGTTGGTAAAAGAAAGAATGTGAGATTGGCTTCTTAGCCAAAAATGAAGGTGGAGCAACCCTTATTTGTTAATCTAAGTGAGGAGAAGGTATTTGATCAGGGGAATTAGAGCACATTTGAACAAGGCACCATGGTTCACTCCATTCTAGTAGGTACAGGTTTTGCTGCCTTCAGTTCTTCTAGAGGAACTGAAGGAGATTAAGAAGGCTATAAAGAAGCTAACAGATTCTCATCCAGCTCTAATTCAATGAATAAAGGCTTTGGAAACGATGAGGGATGACCTTGTGGTGGAAGAGATCCCTGCAAAAGAAGTTGAAGAAGAAAAATAATCCCCTACTCCAACATATGCTAGCTGACTCTTTGTGTCCTGATCACCTGCCTGCCCTAACCTTTTGAATTTCTAAAACTTTGAACTTAGTCTGTATTAAAACTATCTTTATTTTGCTTGCTTTAGCTATAAACAGGGTGTTTGTTTTTGGATTTTGATGTTTGGACGAACATCTGCTTGCTTTCGCTACTATAGAGTTTGCTTAGGTTTGTTATTCATAAAAAAGGGGAATATTGTTGACCATAAAGTTTTGATGATGACTCAATGGAACTTAAACAAACTCATAAGACTTAACTTTCTATTTGAGTTGTGTGGATAACAAGTTCTTAGTGGGATTGAGTTATATGCTATGATGATCCAGAGGAAGAAGGAGCATTTAACAAGGTTTGAAGACAGCTCATGAAGCTAAGGAAAGCAATGAAGAAAGTCAGAGGTCGAGTGCCGGGGGAGGAGCTGAAGCTGTAGAGTCGAAGCCTTAAAGAGAAGAGCTCAAGAAGTCAAATTTATTTTCTGTTTTATTTTAGGCTTCTTATGTTCATACTTAGCACTTTGATATAATTAAGAGTCAAGTGGATTTTTATTTAATATGATATGATTTATTTTTTATTTAATTCGTTATTTTATTTATGGAATATTTTAGAAAATATCTTTTTGGAAAATATTTTACAAAAGATTTTCTGTTTATTTGTTTATCTATTTAGAAAATCTTATTTCGAAAATCTTATTTAACATGTATTTTTGCTCAATCAAAATGGTTGAGAAAAGTTAGGAAATGGCAGAACTAGTTTGAGATAAAATAGGGAAGTTGCTTTTGCTTACTGCCCAAGTTCCCTCTAACGGCACTTTCTAAAATTAAGGAAGTTGTGACTTAGTGGGACTAAAACAACGGTGAAAGCAACTGCCTACCTCTTATATAAAAGACTAATTTTATAGTTAGAAAAACACACTTGAGCATTACAATCTTTCTGGTTTTAAAAGAGTCGAAATCTACTTGAGTCTTTAAATGTCTTTGTGTTTAGTATTAGAGTTAGTCTTGTGTTGTATTGGGGTTAGAGTTTGAGTGAACTCTAAGTGAGAATTGCCTTGAGTAAGCAAAGAGAAAGAGAGAGTGTGAGAGTTCAACTGGTTAAGGGATCAGTTTAAAAGAAAGCTCGAGTTCATTAAGGAACTTGATTTAGATTCTTAGTTTGTAATAGGTTGTTTGCCCTATTATAATTAAGAGTTGAGTTTTAAAATCTCTTATGGTCGTGGTTTTACTTCTTGATTAGGGTCAAGAAGTTTTTCACTTAAAATCTCTCTTTGCACTTTAAGTTCTTTTAAGCTTTATTTTACAAATTCCACAAAAATTACCCTACTTCCTCTACAATACAATTCACCGCGCCTCTTGTATTGTTCATTTGTGTCAACATTATTGCATAATTTAATTAGAAAATTCATGCAACTTGTAACTATGTTAACTAGACTCATTCTAATATGCAATTTGTTTAGGATGGAAGTTACTCAAGTTAAGGGAGAGGCAAGCAATTGAGGAAGAGATAAAAATAAAAGGTATTTGACTTATGAAGAAGATGTACTTCTGATAAAATATTTACACGAGTTGAGTTGCGATCCAAAGTGGAATTGCGAGAATGGGTTTAAGAATGGTTACATGAATAGATTGGAAGAGATGATTAATAGTGTACTTCTTAATTGCAGCTTGAAAGAAGTTCCCCACATTGACTCAAGGATCAAGCATTGGTCGGAAAAATATAGCGCATTGGCGGAAATGTTATCTGTATCAGGATTTGGATGGGATGGGATGCTGAGAAGAAGATGCTACGAGTAGAGAAGGCAGTGTTTGACGGATGGGTGAAGGTATGAATATCTCTTTGTTTGCTACCTCTGTAGTCTCTTCTCTGAACTTGAGTTCTCTTTCCTGAACTTTACTTCTCTGGAAATGTATGTTGTTGTTTTGCTGCTTGTACTTTCTGGTAATCTACATAATTTTTAATTAATTTGATATCAAGAGGCTAGAAAAAAGCCAATGTTTCGGAATTTATTTCTGATCATCTTGAGTGTTGTTAGTGCTGGTAGTTAGCACTTAGCTGTAAAAGGGTCCTTAACTGTGGGTGATAGTAATCAAGCTTCTCTGATCATCTATGCTTATCAAAATTAGAAAAGCTAGAAACTAGTAAGTAGTAAGTTGAGATAGAGGAATACTATAACTGATTTGATGAATGTTAATCTATGAGAACTCCTAGAGATACTTTCCTGTCGTTCTGTATCTAGGTTCAATTGATAATATCTGTTTTGTCATGACTGTTAACTAATCATAAGCGAAATGAATCATTATGATCAGCATAATAGTTTAGTGGATCAGTTTATAGGGAATTAGGGACTGATCTAAGATGATAAGTTTCATAGATCAGTTTAAATATTTTAGTTCATAAACTATATTAGTAAAAAAAAAAAAAAAAAAAAAAAAAAAAAAAAAAAAAAAAAAAAATGGTTGAACCATTAACCAAAATTTATAAATAATGAATTCATTGTTGCCTTTTACTACTGCAATTTTGAGAAATAGAAGCTGTTCCATTTTACTGCCTTTTATTAAACCATTAACCAAGGTTACTTGACTCACCTCTTTCGGCTGGTGTTCTAAGCTAATGTTTTGTTATAAAGTCGAAATGTCCTATCCTGTCCAGTTTTGATCTACCTGTTAACATATCAGTAGCCTGGTTCGGTATTAAAATAGCCGAGGAAAGAAGTGTAGTTGCTCAAAAATATTTTTGATTAAGTTTCAAAGGGGTTATTTGGTTTCTGATTTTTATGTTTGTTCGATGTCCTGTTTCTGATATTCTTGATTACATTTTCTGTTTTGTGTTATTCTGTTTTTGTTATCAACATCATATGCCATAATATTTTGCTTTCCTCTTGCTCTATCCTACTTTTACATGTTTTGACTTTTTGCATTCTCTTACATACAGTATACTCATAAGAAAGCTAAGGAGTTGTTTAGAGTTCCATTCATTCATTATGAAACTCTTGCATAAATATACGCAAAAGACAAAGCTACTGGAGATGCAAGTGAGTCGTTCGTTGATGCTATAGAAGATATGGATCAAGAAATTGATACACAACCATTGAATGTCGAGAGTGATGAAGAAGATGATTTTAACTCTACTCATTTGGACACTTATTCTTCTACAAGTTAATCCGGAAAACGTCCCATGAAAATAGAGGATGATAATTTTACTCCTTCAAAAAAAAGCCAAAAGTGAAGGCTTCTACGATTCATCCTTCCACAAGTGATTCTACTACTCAATCCGGAAAACGCTCTAAAGGCGAAGGAGGCTAAGGTAAAAGGAAAGAACAAGGTAGATTTGAAGAGCTCGTGTAGGAATGATGATGGTGATTTGGTGGCCTCCCTCCATAATGTTTCCAAGAATTTTAGGAAGATATTGAAAAATATTAATGTTAATCTCGAGACTATGGATAGTGCATGGTCTAAAGTGGAAGAAAAGGGGCAGAGGATGAATGAAAAAGTGACAAGGTTTTGGACGAGGTAATGAAGTTAGATGACATTTCTCCATCCAAAACTTTAGAGGTTGCTACAATTCTCTTGGCGAAAGAATATAAGCTCCGCATCTTTTATCAAGCGCCAATTAATATGAAGAAACAATATGCAATTAATCATCTTAAGAAGAAGTAGATAGTTTTGCTGTTGTTGGAGTAAATGTTTCAATAGATTTTGAATGTTTTTTTTTTTTTTTCTTCTTTTTTTGGAATACAAGAATTCCTATGCTTTTTTAATTAATAACGAACTAATATGACTTTGCCTATATCTAGCATATGAAATTTTATGGTAATTAGTGTTGCTCTACATTGCATAATGTGTAGCAAAACTTAGCAAAGACTAAAAAAAAAAAAAAACTATTTGGTTCCAAGTTATTTATGCCAAACAAAAGGAAACAGATTGGTTGTAATTGTTTAAGTTTTCTTATATGTTATCTTTTCTAATTTGATTTGATACCAAATACCCCCCTTAGTGACGTAGCCTATGTTATACAATGTTTATTAGACTATTAAGCAAGACATTTTACAAACAGAAAAACTTAGCAACAGTTTATAAGAACCGACTCTCCAATTCTAAATGCACACATCATTGACATTAAAAGAAACGCAACACTTAAGTAAAATCTCTTGAGCAAGTAGAGAATTGATGTTTGAAGCTCAACACTTCATCATTTACAAGACATGATTTGGATTACCAAAATAAATGATTCAAAAACTTTTATCAATCGCCCAAAACAAGGGAACATGATATGGCATGTTGATACACTAGCTAATGGCTTACAGAGTCGATCAGCCCTGAAACCATTAATAGCAGAACGCTAGAGTACTAATCAGCATAGCCTCGCTATCAATGTCGACTGTCACGTTGGGGGCAATACTAAATTAGCAATGTATGAGAAATAACTCCCAAGCAAAATTGTAAATATATGAGATGGATTATGATAACAAAGTAGGAAACACAAGCGTTTAAACACAATAAATTTTCCCAAGAAAAATCATCTTACAACTCTCTTTTAACAAAAAGATACGACTCCAAAACTTCTAACTAATCAATTTCATCATTAAAAAACTCTGCTAAACAACGTCTATATTACTAGAACATGAAGCAGATTTTGTTTAAGCACCAACAACTTCTGTGGCCTCACCCTCAGCAACAGTTTCCTCAGCTGGCCTGTCTAGCTTTACACCTACGTCCTCGGAGTAGTCACCGTCAACCTACATCAAGCCAAACAGGCAATCAATTTTAGAATCAGAGTTCTAGTCACTATTGAAAGATATGTGATCAACTGCTTTAACACTAAAATTCAACACTAGAATTCAGAGGAATGACTAACCTCCATCAATTTTCCAAGATCGAATTTGGGGGCCTTGAGGATTTTAACCTTCCTGATGTACAAGTTTTGCAGGGGGTAGATGCCAGTTATGAGGAACAGGAAATTACCCGCCAGTTATAGCCTTTTCAATCTCCTTGCCAATAAACTCGGGGATGAACTTAGCTACAAAATCCTTAAGATCACAAGAGCTAGCATGGTTGACCATGATCTCACGCATCTTACGGCAGATCTACACAAAAGATTGCCACATTCATTTACTTGTAAACATCAAGTGAGAATATGTATTTAGAGAAACCAATCATAAAATAACTAACCTGGAGGATCTGGCTAGACTGAGCATAGCTGGTCCTCTTAACCTGGTTAAGGCGCCTATTTGTGAAAGCAATACAGAACATACGCAGGGTGAAGTTGTCAATGGTCTTGACATCATAATGAGCCTCAATCAAAGTTTGCCACTTGCAAAAAGGGGATTACTGGGATCTTCTTTCCAAGTGCCTTGATAATAATAGAAGTTGGCACGCTAAGTTGCTTAATATGGCTGAAAAATGCACCTTGATAAAGTCTGTTTTAAACTTATATCCCATCCATGCTATGCAAATTAGTCTCCTTCCTATTTTTATCCTTTTGGATCTTAAAAGGCAATGTAAATATTCCTCTAGAATAAATCAGATTCTATTAGGTATACTCCTAGAACCAAATGGTGGAATGTTACCATTATTCCAATTGCTCTAGGTGGGTTGGGTACAAGGTACTTAAAGGATTGGAACCTTTCTTTTATGACTAAGTTAAGATGGATTATCTTTACACAACCTGAAAAGCTTTGGGTAAAGATTTTGAAGGTTAAATATATTATGAGATCCAATTTCCATGATTGTTTTCCTAATCCTTCCCAATCTCCCTTGTGGAGAGATATTCTTAAGAGTAGGGAGTTACTTTCAAATGGGTTGATTATTAGGGTGGGAAATGGAGTCGATACTTCTCTATGGTATCATCATTGGATCGGTAGTGCCCTTCTCTACAAAATTATATCATCTGATATCCTCTAGCCTAAATGTCATTGGAGAGTTTCTAATTATAATTAGGAATGATTGTTGGTATATTGATGTTATTAGATATTTACTTCTTGATTATATTTGCCCTCTTATTCTTATCACTGGTCTTTCCATCATAGATTCTACTACTTCTACAGATCGAATCAGGTGGCAGTATCATCCCAATGATGTATTCACATTCAAAGCAGCTTATTTCCTTTCCGCAAACCCTACACATATATCTCTTCCTTTCTCTTTTAATTGGAAATCCTTCTGGAAACTTAATGTTCATGTGGAATCGGGTTCTTTCCATTATTCCTACAGCTTCTCTACTTGCTACCAGAATTCCAAACTTTGATCAATCCTTATTCTAGGTGTCAACAAGTCTAAGACCTTCATTCACTTGTTTAGGGATTGTAATTCTTCTATCATCCTCTATAAATTGATCTTTTAAAAAATAAAACCACCTGAGCTGCAAAGTTTAATTATGGTTTCTTTATGAACTGTAGCTGGGATGCTTGGTTGAGTTTTAATTCCTCTCAAACTCCAAAATGGAAATGTATTTGTTTTTTTTTTAATTCGAATGTGTCATATATGGAAGCTGAGAAATGGAGTAATCTTCAATGCAAATATCTATAATTGCAATTCTGTATTTAACGAATTTATTAGACTATCAAATCAACAATTTTGTTTTACAGAGAGGTTCAAAGGGGAAGGAAAAAATGACTGATTCACAAGGGCCATTTATCACTAAACCTCACTCTTTGGGCCCTCCTAAGCCTGGCTTTCTCAAGTTGAACACTGATGGAACTTGGAAGAGTAGCACCGTAGGAGGAGGTGGAGGAGTTTTCAGAGCAGAGAGAGGGGAATGATACTTTGGCTATTCAAGAAAATATAATGCTCCATCTGCCCTAGATTCTGAATTTTATGCCTTAACTGATGCAGAGGCCATGAGAGGACTGTTTAACAAAGAATCTGATAACATGCATCATGAACTTGCAGCTGTTATAATTCATGTTGGCAGGTTGCTCAAAAATAGGGATATAACTGTCATTTTGAGCCACATCCCCATGGAAATAAACAATTTAGATCATTATTTGGGTTAATATACTATGAACATGGCTTTGGGTCACAAACCACACAAGTGTTGTTGCAGCCTGTGAGGCGGATCTTAGAGCTCTGCATGCCCCTACTTCTTCCTAGCTATCCTTTTCAGTTGTTGTTTTTCAGCATGCTATATGTACCATGAACATTGCTACTGTGTTTATATTCTACTAAACGATATTTAAAGTTAGCATTTTGGGTTTAAGCAAAACTTTGGACTTTAGGCTGTAATATATTTAGGGCTATGCCCAATTAATATATGCTTCCTTTTGTGTTAAAAAAAGTTTAGCTTAAAATTAGAGGTGATTTTGAGACAAGACAACTCGCAAGCTATTGGAGCTTGGCTCGGTCAAAGCTTGACTCATGTAATCTCGGCTCGAACTCGACTCAAGATTGTAACGAGTCAAGTCCAGCAACTCACAACTCGACTCAAAAAAGCTCACAAATAGCTCAATTAAAATTTTAAAGTATGTATCTTTCAAAAAAAAAAAAAAAAAATTTAAAGTACGTATGTATCTTGTTTATATAATTTGAATCTTTGTAAAATAAAATTTGAAAAAAATAAATAAATATGCCTAAATATGGAACTAATTAACTTATCATTGTTCACATACTTTTACCCTATTTAAATCGATTCTTCTTGGTAAAATTGTTTATGAGATAAAGTAAAATTAATTCCTTGATATTAAAAATATAAAGAATATTGGAGTATGATGTTAGGTCTCCTTGATCTTTGGCGATATGAAACACTACCAAAATTTGGCCTTCTAGCGACAGGTGAAATCCGTCTCTGATTTCTAAAAATTCATCGCTGGATTTAGCTAGCTACGGATATATCAACATAATCACTCCGTTGTTGAACACCTTGTCGCTAAATGGACTTTGAGACGGAAAACAAGTAAACCGTAGTTGATGTAGCGACCGAATATTTTCGGTTTCTATTTCTGTTGCAAAGACTTAGAAACGGAGATAATATGTTCCGATATCAGCAAGGGAAACAAAGAATCCGTCTCTAAATTTAGCAATGGAAATAAAATTTCTATCTCTAAAAGTAGCAATAGATATATTTAAAAATAAATAAATAAAAAATTTAAAAAAAAAAAAAAAAAAAAGTCTTGCTTATATTTTTATCACCTATATTGTTAGTTGTTTGGTTCAACCCAATCCCTTTACCAATTTGAAACTTCACTCGGGTCAACCTCGCCTCGGGTTTGCATGTAAGGCTCTTTAAATCCCCTAGTCTCAATAACCGCAATTGGTAGGAGTCTAACCTGTGACCTCAAAGTCACATGGTAAAACACTTACCAACTATACCAAGTACTATTTGTTTACTTTTATCAACAGAAGTGATAATAAATGAAAGAAATATTAAAAACGAATCTTAAAACTTTGTCCCTAAATTAGGAGTTTTATTTCGTCCCTATATTAGACAAATTATTATTCGGCCCCTACATTAGAGACGAATTATTTATTCCGTCTCTAAATTTGTGATGGAATTTTAAGTCAGAAGTGTAATGGTCCTAAATTAGAGATGGATTTTTGATTCAGTCTCTAGTTTAGAGACGGATGTTAATTCCCACTAAATTAGAGACGGATTTTCAATTTCGTCTCTAATTAGAGACGCATTTTTAATTTTGTCCTTCTTTTGGAGACAGATGTTTAATTCCGTCTCTAAATCTTAGAGACGAATTATAATTTTTGTTTTATATTAGCAACGGATTGAATTTTTGTCTCTAGTATATCGTTTCTATATAGACAATTTTTTGTAGTGAAAATTTTTTGGTAATACATGTAAATAAACAATGCACACTAAGCAAATGCTTTTGTGTTAATGTGTGCAATTGTGCAAAGCTATAAGTATAAACAATGATTTGATGCTACATAACATTTTCCACATTAACAATTTCTATTGGAACACCCTAGAATGAAAGTTATATAAGGAAATGTAATACTATTATACTAATAATTCTCTCACAATCCCGCATTGAACTATTGGAGAGAGTGGGTGGGAAATGTTCATTCTTTATTCCTACACCCAAGACTAGCCAACTATTCCTACACCCCCTCCCCCTGCAAACGACGTGTTTAATCACCATACCCCCATACCCATTTTTTCATAATTCCACGGTAACTATGCTTTTACCCCTATATATATTTTTTTCAAAAAAATAAAACATCAAAACTGCCATTTTGCATTTATTCATCTCATTTTATCTCTCCTCACCCATTTCTTCATCATACAACATGATTCGAAGTGTTGGCTCATATAATTCAATGGGAAGCACCGCCTCTGTGCCATATGCCATAAGGAATGGAGTTTCACCGGTTGACCCCTTCTCAGTAGTTCTGATGGACCAAAGAACGTGAGTTAATTCTTCTGCCCAAAGCCCGCCTGCCTTCTCGATCTTTTTCTTTATGCCGCCTGAGATGAGCTTGTTGAAAGCTTCAACTTGACCGTTTGCTTGCGGACGGCCAACGGATGCAAAGTAGTGGGAAATCCCTTGATCTTGCAACCAAGTCTTCAGGACAGGCGTTTCGAACTGGGGGCCATTGTCAAAGACCATTGACATTGGTACACCGAACCGGGTGATGACATTTCTCCAAATGAAGGAGATGACATCCTTAGTTTTGATGCCCTTTACCGCCTCGGCCTCAACCCACTTGGTGAAGTAATCAACAGCCACCAAAATGTATCTTCTGCCGCCTGGGGCAGGAGTGTATGGCCCCAAAATATCCATGCCCCATTTTGCAAAGGGAATTGGGCTGTGAATAGCTGTCATATCAGTTGCCGGCTGCCTTATCAGCCGGCCGAACCTCTGGCACTTGTCGCATCTTTTCACCAGATCTAATGCATCCGCCTCAAGTGTAGGCCAAAAGTATCCTTGGCGCCGGGTTCTTTTGGCGAGGATCCTCCCGCCAATGTGAGATCCACAGAAGCCGGCGTGAAGATCTTCCAGTATTTCCTTGCCCCGTTCTGGGGTAACACACTTTAATAGCGGCTGCAAGTAACCCTTCCGAAACAGTTCACCGTTGTGCATTGCGAAGCTTAATGCTCGTCTTTTAAGAGCAGCTGCTTCGGATGAGGTTTCCGGTAGAGTGCCGTCTTCCAAGTAATTCCGGATGGGGTCCATCCATTTGGAGCTTCGATCTAGAAGTCCAATGGGGTCATGTTCAATGCTTTTCTTTTCCATGACTTCCCAGAAGACTGATCTAGGCGTATCACATGTGGCGGAGGATGCAAGTTTGGATAGTGCATCCGCCTGATTATTCTCGGATCTGGGTACTTGACTTAGGTTGAATTCATCAAATGCCCCAGCCTCCTCTTTGACCGCCTGCAGATACATAATCATCACCGGATGGGTGGCCTCGTAGTCACCGTTGTACTGGCTAACGATGAGTTGGGAATCTGAGCAGGCATCAACTTTCCTTGCCCCGACCGCCTTACACAT